GTGAGGTGAATCCAGCTTGCCTACGCTGAAGGAGCTCTTCTCATGATTAGTGAGGCTACAATCGATTTGCTTGGATTTCAAAATGGCGTGTTTTAACACATTAGAATACCAGGAGAATAAATGGATCTGAAGAATAATTCTGGAAGCAGGTTTAATCACGTTTATGTTTTCAGGGAATTTTTCTACAATTTTTTTGGCTGTACAAGAGGATAAAACGTCGAAAATAACGTAAATGAGCTATTGGAGTTTGGGGGGCAGGGGTAACATTGTAATTAGGCTCTTCAAAGCTGGTAACTGGTGGACGGAACAACATTGTATTAGGCTCTTCAAAGCTAGTCCAAGGCCTTAGCTACCAAGCCAGGCGTAGCCCAAACCTAACCTAAGCCGAACCTAAGTTAAGCCCAAGCCAAGCGGGACCTTGCCTAAAGCCCCACTAAGCCTAAGCTAGGCCCATACCAATCCTAGCTAAGCTAAACCCAAATCTAAGCCAAGCGAAAGCACGCCTAAACCTAAGCTAGGCCCGAATCTAAGCGCTAAGCTCCTACTAAGCCTAAGGCAAAGTTAGTTTAGGGCCAAGTCTAACCTAAGCCTAAGAAATCCGCCGCCATCCAACTTCAACAGATAAAAAGGAAAGAATGCTGGATTTCATAGATAGCTTCTCGAGAAGAATTCCACCCCGAAAATTTTGAGACCAAAACGACTCACCTTCGGCATTTTCATAGATCACTTCAATCGTTCGAATATCTTCTCCGTCATCAAAAATCGGAAATAAACATTGCATTGAGAAATCGCGGCGCGGCGCCACCCACAGGGTGTAAGGTTGGACATCCAGCAAGTTACCAATAGCTAAACCCGGGAATATTCATTACTTTTTGGTAGGTTGACGTCAAGAGAAACGGTTCTGGTTCGTTAGCGGGGGGATTAATGTTGTAGATTTTTCTCCAAAGTTTTATCGTTTTGGGGACTAATCATCGCGATTCGGTAGGGCATCAAAAACATTCCATGAATTTTAATTCTAGGCAAAAACAATAATTTAAAAAAAGTTCTGACCAACGCAAAAAACCCCAAAATGGAGTGATTAAGCTATTTTTTCGGGATTTCCTATCTTTTTCTACATCCTGTTAACGCTATGCGGTAGAGCATGAAAAATATTATAAGCTTTTGTTTTACATCCCAAAATAATGTAATTTAAGATAAGAGAAGCTATAGACCAAAAAACGTATCCCCGGTAAGCTCCCCCCGCCAGCTAACGATCCAGAACCAGAGAAACCCTAACCGTCTAAGGCTTTAAAAAGCTAAAAACCTTTACCTGACAACATAAAAGTTTCATTCTTAAATTCTAGCGAGGCAAGCGCCGTTCTTGGTAAAAATGTCGGCGTTCGTTGGACAGACACGAGCTGTGGTTGAAATTCGGTCATAGCGAATTATTGATTCAGCGTAGTTATCATAATCACTAGAAATAACGTTGAAAATTAATCAGAAATGCTCTGAGCTTTTGAACGGGCTTCATCCCGGCAGGGTACAGGCGGCGCCTATGCACGCGGGATTTGGAACAATAGCTTGCGTGAGCGGTCCGGGACTCCCCATTACCGGAGTTGGGGCGAGTGGACGGATACAAGATTGAAAGCGTATTTTCGTCAAGTGTCGGAGTGTTATAGAAAATTTGGAGAATTTGAGCCGTCAATGATTTATGGCTTTACGTGAAACCTTGGCAGTTCGGTTCTGGGCTGTTAGCGGTGGGATAGATTTTCACGGGTGCAAACCAATTTTTTTCTGTGTTGTCTCGACGGCCACTTTCGTAAAATACAAACCATTTTCCTGGCAGTTTTTCACTTTTGGTCAAAAATGTGTGAAAAACGACCAAACAAAAACCTAAAATTTCCTAATTTTAAAAATTTTAAAAACATTTTTGCAATGTCCTCGCAGTCGAAAACTACTATTAACGCTGTAATAATACATCATATCTAATATCCTCAAGAATCATTGGTGGAAAACAAAAAGTGGTCCTTTCTCGTCAGAAGGTCTGGTCAGGAGACTTTTTGGTGCAAAATGTATGAAAAATTTTTGCATTTTCAAATTTTCAAACTATTTTCAGAATTTTCTAACGGTCAAAAACTACTAAAATGACTATGAAAAGACATAATCTATCCTCAAGCGATCCTTGGTCCAAAGCAAAACGTGATCTGATTACAATCAAAAGCGATCTGATTAACATGCAAAAATAGAATTTGAGTTAGTTGGAAACTTGAGCTCGGACCCGGAGGAATCAATTTCATTCCACTCGACACAACCGACAATTTTGGCCTCGCCTACTCGACCGTCGATGAGACGTCTTCATCGTTCCCGGAGGGACACGACGCTGATTGTCTACTTACTGATTATCGCCTTCTTCAGCAACAGCCACGGCCACCCGTCAGTTTTGGATAGTTTCTAGACTTTGAAGGGTTGTTCATCTACTTGATGGTTTCTTGGCGTCCATTATTGCTTTGCAATCCTACTTCCATTGTTTCAGTGATGGAAATATTCGGCAGCCACCAAGCGCCACGTTCGACCTCAATGACTTCTCGTCCACCCTGTTCAGCCACAACAACCACCGGATCCGACGTGACGAAGAACTCCCAAATGTTTGAAGGCTATCTGATTTTGAATGGTTAATTTAGTGTGGTCCATATCGCCTGTTCATTTGTTATTGCTTACGGACATCTGGCAAATGAAGGAATGGAGATGCCAGAATGGGTGAGGCTTCTGTGTCCTGCTTGTAAAGCCCCGATATGCAAAGTGGCGGGCATCGGCAAGACAGCAGAAGATAGACTGATGTTGAACGTTGGATGTCGACCAAACTTTTTGTGTACGTGCAACGAAATCCGAAAGCTTAGAATTTCCCAATCCTGCTCCGGAAAGCACCCAGTTCATTTATAGATGGCCGAATACAAGGAAGAATCCGGGGCACCAGATTGCATCCTACCTGTAGCGATCAACGACGGCAAAAGTATGACCGATTGCTTAACCTTTCTAAAACATTGACAGATAAAGTCCTGTTCCCTTTCAATCTGTGCACCAGGGAAATGCTAGCATCGGGAAAATGCGAAGGAAAGGCATGGTTGGGTCAATTGGTCATTATTGATGGTTATAATCCACTCAGGAGCACGAATCCATACGTGACAATCGGAATTGCATTGACCAACCAGTACTTTGTGCAATGTGACGCCGGCTTCATAGTACCAGCGTAAGTATTTTGCTTGTTTCTACGACCACTGTGATTTTTACTAGGCGGCTCTTGGCTGCAGAGGAATTACAATGCTTTTTACTTTTCCTGAAGTGAGACTGAAAAGTATTGTTCGAAAGGTGCAAGGTGCTAGACTTTCCACTAAAATATCTAATTTCGAAAAGATTCGCCCATAAGTGGTACGACGTCAAGATAATTTTAGAATTGTCGTTGAAGCACACAAGAAACATGGCGATGGACCTGATGCACCGTTCATCACTTGTGTCCCGAGTCTTCACTTAGCCGCCGGATACGCTGTTGGGGATCTATCGCTATTCAGCAATTACCCATATGATGCAGTTAATCCACGGAGCATTGAGGTATTCAATAAATTCGTGCTAAGACATGCCATTTGCAGTACTGCGGTGGGGAGGGGCGGCAGAAAGGCGACATGTGTCAGCCACTACCAATCTGCAAAAACGATGGTCGACCGCCGTAGGAAATTGCAAAAAGCGCTCAGAAAACTTTTGAGATCTTCTCTGTTTGCCTCAGACGTCGTTTTTCATGCAAAGGACTGCGACAAGCCTTGTGAATACCAATTCGGCGCCACATACGATGACTGTGTCTTTCTGGATATCTCGAATCCCGGAGGAGCCATGCCCTATTTCTCAGCCCGGCGAGCACTGGTTGGTATTATTGGAATGACCCTGAACCTGTTTTTTTAATAATTCGCTCAGCCAGAACGTATGACCTTCTTTTAGTCCGGTCCGTACGCGGTCTTCATGGATGAAACGGAGAACCTGATGCTTGGCGCCGTGACCAGCAGTGAGGGATCAACGGCGGCTCCGAACGCTCCGGAGACGTCGGAAACGACAACAAATAACCCACAGAGGGAGGACCGGAAAATGTATCTTCTCTTCACCATAAGCGGGAGGTACTAATGATAGTAATGTGCTCTTTTTGTATACCATGTATCATTCTTACTAGGATTGCTTCCAGCCAGGCTCACTGAAATATCTTTTCCAGATCCGGCCGTTCTCGTCGCCAGATGAGAAAAGGGTCGTGCTCGCCGCCAAGATAACACCTCGGAGAAGATTCAATACCCACGATGCATCAACGTGGCCGGACTGGCGGTATCTTCACAACATCTGCAGATGAACTCGTACCATTTTAGGGCGAGGATCTGCAGAGGGTCCAGGGCGACCAGTTTCTGAACTGCGACACGAACATCTTTGTCCAGTTCCGAAACGGCAACACCAGCGGACTGGCCATCGACCCGCCGCCATGCGAGGAGCCAATGACACTGTAAGATGCTTGCTGAGTAGTTTTGATGATTCCTCGGGAATTGAATACCTTTGAAAACGAATCATTTCCAGAAAATCTGCACGAATCGTGATGGAGCCCCAACGGAACCGACTTTCATCATCACAACCACGACAGCTGCCGCTCTATCGAGTGAAACGCTGATCGGGATCGGGGCTGGTCAGACACATGTTCTTTCCTCCCTTTTGATACCTTTTTTGTTCAGGTGTCGGCGGCGTCCTGCTGTTGTCGGTCTGCGGTGCAGTGTTGGGTTGCAGGCTCAAAAAGTAGTTTTCGTCATTCTTGCGAACCGCGCGCGTTCAGGAAGAAGAAGGACGACGACCCGGAGAAGACGGTGGTGGTATCACCAATCCCACCGGTCGATCCGGAACCTGCCCCCGGGATTTCCCCGGCCGTCCCAGCCGTCGTCGAGCCACCCCCAACGGCACCGATTCCATCTCCAGCTATTGGTGGATTTGGTCCAGCTGCCCCGATGAAGGCACCATCGAAAATCGTTAATCTCGCCGAGGGCCAGTACAAGCTCATCACCACCAATATCGAAGGAGGGCACATGGCGCATTTGGAGAAGATGGTAATCCGTTTAATTCGTATGCTTTGGCGGCGTTGCCGTTCGCTCGCTTGCGCGTTCACACGCTTCGGGGTTCTGCAGGCTTCGGACTGTTAAGACTCCCGCTGCGCGCAGTGTGGAGTTTCCTTTCATCTTATTACTTCTCCTATATCCTAATATATATAAAAAAATAATGTCTGGGTGTGTGTATGTGCCACGTTGCATGCAACTTGGGGTTCGGGGCCCAAAAAGGGATGGGTCTAAGGGGGTGTTTGATACCTCATTAGATGCGTAATGGGCTGGAGATGATATTTTTTTGGTGACGGGGATTCGGGACAGATATGCAAAGTGTAGACGATCAAGTGGACTGGACGGGTGCCAGGGTTGTAAAGCCGGGAAGCGGTTTTTGAACCCCCGGTGTTTATAGAAAGACAGATGTATGAGATGTGCAGATGTATTTATATACGCTGTCAATTCCAGACGAAAGGAACGCCACGTCCGATCAAACGTCAACCCGGCCGCTACGACCTGGCTGCACGCGGCCTCGCGCTGAGAATGGATATCGAAAAGTTTGTGAGTTTCACTTTGATGATTGGATTGCATCCTTAACGAAATTCAAAAGGAATTTATCTGGCATAGTTGAGACTGCCTCAAAAAAATTCTGAAAAGTAGTGAAAAGAGATCGCATTACGATGGTCCCGTTTATAGAAGGCCTGGAAGTCGAAGCAGCCCCCGAGGCCGAAGGAAAAACCGGCCTTGACTGTCACGGGCAATGATCCGCAGACCAGGGAAATAGCTCTGAAGATTATCGCAAAGTTGAGCAGCGAAGACTATCTGGCAATGGACAACAAGGAGGTACATCGGGAGGGACATTTAGATTTTGGCGGGCGGGTTCCCGAGACGCGTGTCGTGACAGAGGATAGCGAGCATCCGTACGCGGGACGTGCGGGCAACATGTCTAAAACATCAAAGTTATCTCAGCCGTACTACACCCCGGATGGCGACGCGATTCATAGTTTATACTTGGAACTCGAAGATATATTCAAAGAGGAATACGGAGTGGCGCGGCCCCAGGGAAGGACGATTGTCGTCGGGGACCTACATGGAAATGTGCGCATCTTTTTTTCCATTTTTTCGAGCATCGAATTATATTTTTTCCTTGCAGTTCAACGACCTTTGGCGCATCATCCATGCATGGCTGTCAGATGTAGTTGATCAAGGGCCCAAACAAAAGTAGAATTCGATATCCGTTCTCTGGATATCATATTTTTAGCATCATCTTCCTCGGCGACATCGTCGATCGGGGGCCCCGTCAACTGGAATGCTTGATCCTGATTTTGGCATACAAGGCGGTCTTCCCCAAACAGGTCGGCGACCCGGAGGCGGCCGGGGGGGCACTGACCTTTTTCCCGTATTATAGGATTCCAGGTTTGAAAAGTCGCTGCGCGACTTCTCAACCCTGGCCCCGTCTGGGCCCTTGATCGTCAGCAATTTGCATTATTTGCTGAAAACTCGATTACAAAGGAATGGAGAAAACTGCTCTGCTCTAACTGTCCCAACTACTCTTCTGCCAGTCATCGTATTCTTCACATTACATAATTTTGCTGAAGGTACTGTTCTATTTCGAGCGGGGGAAAACTGTGCGGGGGATGTTCTTCTTTTTGCTATGACTATTTTATAATACGTTATTGGGAGTTGTAACTAAAACTCTTAAGATATTTTTGACGCTCGATTTTTACAAAATAACGAAAATGCCAAAAACTAACGTTTCGGTACCACCGCAATCGCTATTTTTTTGCTATAACTTTTTTTATATTATCAGGTTGGAAGGTAAGTCCTGTCGCCGAGATTTCGAAGAGCGGCCTAAAATCGCAGATAGCATCATTTTGACATGCGATATGTCATTTGGTAGCCCTCGACCTAAATTTCTTCCGGGGGAAGGTCCTGGGTCACTAAAATGAAGGGGGGTCGAGATACAGACCCGAGAAGTTTTTGGCGAAATTTGGGAAAAGTGCTTTTGCAAGTTATCTCTGCATAGAGCAATTTGCATGCGATACCTGGAGCGCCAATCGATAGATCTCGATGAGTAGATATCGATGGATGTTGAGATCGTCCAAATCGGAAACAGGATGGCTGAGATACGGTCCCTTGAAATTTGAGCCATTTCTTAGAACTTTTCTCGAAATCCTATACATTTTATCAAAATCCTCATCTGTTGTTCAAAAATCGAGCGGCAATTTTTGGCTCGTTCTTGCCTGATGTATGGGATTTCGAGAAAAGTTCTAAGAAATGGGCTAAATTTCAGAGGCCCATATCTCGGCCGTCCAGTGACCAATTTTGAAAATCTCGACATCCATCGATATCTACTCTTCGAGATCTATCGATTGGCGCTCAAGGTATCGCATGCAAATTGCTCTATGCAGAGATAACTTGCAAAAACACTTTTCCCAAATTTCGCCAAAAACTTCTCGGGTCTGTATCTCGACCCCCCTTCATCTTAGTGGCCCAGGACCTTCCTCCGGAAGAAATTTAGGTCGAGGGCTACCAAATTACATATCGCATGTCAAAAATGATGCTATCTGCGATTTTAGGCCGCTCTTCGAAATCTCGGCGACAGGACTTACCTTCTAACCTGATACATTATTTTTAGCTAAAACAGACTCTTTTTATAGTTTTTTGATGCTCTATCGATTGGCGTCGCAAAACCCAAAGAAAATAGCGCAAAGATGGAAGTTTCCTCGAAGCATATCCCTTCCCCGCAAAGTCCCCCCGGTCGCAATAGAACAGAATGAATTGCTGAATTTTAACCCCTGCTGAATACCGATCGCCAAAAATGAAAACCATCTCCTTGTGCCCCTTTAGATAAGCAGCCCCCGCTGCCGGTACATGTTAATTTTTTCCGAGATTTCCACAAAAAGTTAAATTTTCTTAAATGGGCAAAAATTGAGTGAGTGTTTGAGTCGTTGCTATATGTGCACTTATCTCGAGACCATTGCGCACGGAATTACGTGTCATACTTATATTAAAATCCCCTAACCGGCTGGGTCTGGGACAACCTGACGGAAGTTGCATGCAAATGCACACGACACACAAACAATATTTTTTTATCTGGTAGGATAGCACTTTTTTCGACATCTGATGTGTTCCGTTGTATCCAGAATATTGCATGGACACAGCTCATGACGTGCCATACGTGCCTTAAAACCCCTTTTTTATTGAGATGTCATGCAAATTCACAAACACACAGGAACTATTTTTTTTCTAAGGCAGGAAACGATACGGAACGGTTACTTTTAGGTTTTCATCGTCCGTGGTAATCACGAAGAATCGGACACTTGCGAAGATTTCCAAGCCGACATGCTTGCTCGCGGATACAGCGACGAGGCGGAGCAAGCCATCAAATTGCTTCTCGATCTTTTCGAAAAGTTGCCAAGCCTTGGGGTGATTGACGGTCGGATTCTCTGCATGCACGGCATGCTAGGTGGGTTCTACTACGCATCATTTCTAATATTTTCCAAGCTCTCCTATTTTCAAGAACAAAATCTGTGACATTTTCCCGGTTTTACAAGGCATGTAGGCGAAGCCGAGTGTGGGGGACAATTTTACGCTGGCGACAAAAAAAGGTGCCTTTTTTGGATATTTTCATTATTTTCGGAATTTTGCAGCACCGTTCTATAGCGTATTCGAAAAATTTGTGTTTTTGTTTTAGCTCAAAGTGTCGCAATATAAAAAAATTATGGCCAAAACAAAGATAACCTTTGAAAATCGGGTGGAACGGCTGGTTTTCGACATATCGGTATTTTTCGACATTCTAAGGCAAAACTGGGATTAAACGGGGTTTGCACTATACTTCGTCGTGGGGGACGAGGTGGGGGACGGTGGGGGAAGGGGGAAATCTGCATTTCACCAGGGTCCGATTTCCATATACAGCTTTCAAAGTAGTGACATACATCCGCTCGCAATCTTTTTCTCCAGCGGTCGAGCTAACAAAAGAGGATCTGGCAGTCCAAGCTGATCTATCTCCGGCACATTTCTCCGACATGGCCCGGAACATGCGGTGGAATGATCCGTCAGAGGAAGTCGTCCGGTAAGCTACGGTTCCGGTTCACGCCGTCTGGAATTGGCATGGTTTTTGAATATGGCACATTAATGTGACTGTCAATCACAAAAATTACTGGCTTTCCAACCTGATACACAGCGATTTGGATCCTGGTCAAAAGTATCTCATGTGCTTTTGCCCAGGCAAGTCGTCATATCTATCTTTAGTATCTCGCCCAACACCTCGCGCGGTGGCGGCCAGCTCTGGCCTCCGAAAAAAATCGAGGAAACGATCGAAATGCTGGGCATCGACTTCGTCCTCCGCGGTCACCAGGTACATGCCAACGAAAATACAAAAACAGAAAACAGGGTCTCCCAAAAGAGCGACCGCCTCGGGATTTCGCATTATTACATCAAATTGGGGCAGTGGGGTATTAGACCCTCATCAGTAATAAAAATCCTGGCTGACAGCCCTATCACTAGTTGTTTTCGACTTACAACAAGAACACTTTTCATTCGGAAATTCTCCACGGTTGTTCGGCGGCGAAAGAGCCTGCCTCTTTGAGCGAAGAATATCTCATTGCGCGTAAGATCTGCGGCAAATTTTGGCAAACAAACACCGTCTTCATTGCTTAATTTTTGTGATCAAAAAGAAATCTTGGAGGATAGAGCGCCTTCGGCGTCAATTTTCCTTAAAGGTTGTGAGGTCGATTCCCACCCACGGAAGCCTAAAAATTTCTTAATTGTTCTAGAACTTCCTGCAATTTCCTTCTGAAAACAATGTGTCCCTAGATGATGACGAACGGCGTACGCAGGTTTGCCAATCTTCCATTGGCCACCGTCTTCTCATCGTCGTTCTACTGCGACGAGGTAAGGCACTTTGGATTTTTAGCATCCAGTTGGATAGCACCTAAATTTTTTGCAATAAGAATAATAACTTTCCAAACCCTGATGAAAACTCAGAAAAATGAGTTGTTTCGAAAAAACTTTTTGTTGTCAAGCGTTTTCTCCATAGTTTTTATTTTGGCTTAAGCTATGCTTCGTAGGCCCTGTTGGGAGGAATATAAATATTAGCCCCAAAATATAAGCCTAAGATAAGTCCATAGCCGACCGCAGCGGACGTAAAGAGAGATATAAGGCCCCTCCCAAACGGCCTATATTTGGCACTTCTGCGCCCTGTAAGCATAATTTAATTTTAGAAAAATCTTGGCGCCGTTCTCTTCGTCGATCCTGAGAAGAACGCCATCGTGCCGATCTTCATCGTCAACATGAACGACAAGATCGAGAGTGAGTTGGGGTTCCAGTCCCCGCGGCGGGGCGGGGGGGGGGGATAAACCATTCACTGATTCCGCATTCCGTATATCGTTTTTTGGTGGCCGTGGAATTACAGTGCGTAAATAAGACATCTTGCACAGAATTTTCCGCTGATTTCGAATCCATTTTCAAAAAGTTGCGGTGCCGGTCTGGTTAAAAGGCCGTTTGCGAGAGACCCGAACAAGGCTTGGCACAGTTTTTTTCGACCCTGTTTTTTTTGACGCCATCTGAAAGAGCATAGTCGAATCAGTAGGGTGGGATGATTTTTAAAGTTTAAAAAGTTTAATTTTGGGGTTAAAATGGGCCTCAAAGTCGCCGACACCGAAAAATTATCTCGAAAACTACTGAACCGATTTTACTGAAATTTTGCGACAAACCATAATTTGGGACGGGGATCACTTCTCTAATACATTGCAACACTTGAAAATGGCAGGAACATAGGTATACCGCGTAGTGCAAACAGTTTTTGCGGAATTAGTAGTTTTACGGGTCCCCAGAGCGCTTAGCCACTAATGTTAAAAGATGCGCGCGAAATTTCTGCATAAAATGGTGTATCTTCTGGAGCGCTCCGCGCGCCCGTAAAAAGCGAAAAATTGAGCTTAATGTTGCGCCAACGCACCAAATTCGGCTATTTTCCTTCATAAGACAGGCGAGAGGAGGCGAGATAGTGGGGAAAAGAGAGAGAGTGGCCTCCGGGGGCCGATTTTGCTGCAGGCCTGTTCGGCTGTCGCTGTGGTGCATTGGTGTGGGTCTGGATCCACGCGCTGGGGCGGCTCTAGATCAATCCCAGCCTACCTTTAGAAAGCTAATTTCTTTTTGCTCTTTTTTGCAAGCTTCCTGACTTGGGCTCCTGAGGCATGGCCATGCTACACCCGTATAAATTTGCCGAATTTGGTGCGTTGGCGCCACATTAAAATCAATTTTTCGCTTTTTACGGGCGCGCGGAGCGCTCCAGAAGATACACCATTTTATGCAGAAATTTCGCGCGCATCTTTTAACATTAGTGGCTAAGCGCTCTGGGGACCCGTAAAACTACTAATTCCGCAAAAACTGTTTGCACTACGCGGTATACCTATGTTCCTGCCATTTTCAAGTGTTGCAATGTATTAGCGAAGTGATCCCCGTCCAAAATTATGGTTTGTCGCAAAATTTCAGTAAAATCGGTTTAGTAGTTTTCGAGATAATTTTTCGGTGTCGGCGACTTTGAGGCCCATTTTAACCCCAAAATTAAACTTTTTAAACTTTAAAAATCATCCCACCCTACTAATTCGACTATGCTCTTTCAGATGGCGTCAAAAAAACAGGGTCGAAAAAACTGTGCCAAGCCATAATGGGGTCTGTTCGGGTGACTCGCGGACGGCCTTTTAAAGCGTCACAACCGGTTTTTGCGCGCAAATGGCCTAAAACTGCCAGTTTTAAATCCTGGTAAAATAATCCTGAAATGCTTTGATAGGTAGTTTACACACTTGCTTGCTATAGAAAAATGCGCTCATGCTGATGATATTTCTCGGTTAGAGTTCAGTTTACCCTCCCCCCCCCCCAGCCGACACCCAACTTTTGTATCTCGGCCGCCTGTTCATCTACAGTTGTGTAATCTATACCAAAATGTTCGTTTTGCTTTGGCCAGTATCTTGCTATACTTTACGCACCTACAAATGAACAGGGAGCCGGGAACCGAGATACGGTAGGGGGGGGTCGACTGCACTTAAGCCTTTTTCTCATCTGAATTCCAGAAACGTATGCAGGATAAAAAATATTATGGGGTTAGAGGGGGCTAGGGTTGAAAAGTTGCGAAGCGGCTTTTCAACTCTGGTTGGGGTTAAAATTTATGATTCTTCACTAAGGTACACATAGGATAGCGGGGGGGAATAAAACAACGGAGCGGGCACTCAAAGTTTTTTATGATAAAGGTATTTTTAAATATACTTTTTTCGGGCTATAAAAAAAGCTCTTAGTATATTCTTTGGCCTTCTATCGAATAACGTTGTCAAAATATCGAAAATCTTCAAAACGCCGAAAATATGTCCCCCCCCCGTTATCCTATGTGCTGCCCATAGTTTTCAAAATAGTTTTTAGGCTATAAAACTTTTATAATACATTTTTGCGTGTTGTAAAACATCTCTTCGTATATTTTTTGCCGTTCTATCGATTGGCGTCTTGAAAATATCAAAACACTCAAAAATTTGGCTTCCGCCCCGTTATCCTATGTGCTGCCCATGGATTTTGGTCGATTTTTGTTTATTCGATAAAAAATTGCATTTACATTATTTCGAGCTGAATTTAATTATCCTAGGGCAGTTTTCAACGCGCTATCCAATGGCGTTTTCAAAATACCAAAATTTGGCTTCCCCCCTCCGCCCCCCGTTATCCTATGTTCTGCCCGTAGATTTTGCTCAATTTTGGTTTATTCAATAAAAATTTCTATTACATTATTTTGGGCTGGAATCAATTCTGTGAGTAGATTTTTCGACGCTCTATCGAATGGCGCTTGCAAAATCCCGCAGTAATTGCAAATTTCTAAATGATGATTGCCCCCCCCCCCCGCTGTCCTATGAGTACCCTTCACTAATTCTATCGGGTTTGACTGCTATAAAAGACTAAAAGTTTCAGTTAATTTTAACAATTAGGGTGGGCGAGCATCGAAAATATGCGTGCTTTTTCAGCGCAAGATGCATTCGACAAGAGACTGGCTGAGGGTTGGAAAGCCAAGGATTATACGGCCACTAAGGTGAGTCAGACGCTATGTAGATACACCCGACCTTTTGAGCACGTACACATGCCATATTGCAGGAGCAAACGAAAATGGCAAAGCCGAACGTGAAGAAGAATAAAAAGAAATGAGAGAACGGAAGGGACTCGACCACGCACCCCGACCAGACTAACTGATCACACAAAATGTTCACGAACCTGTACCGCCCATTTTGTATTGACATGTATCTTTTCTTTCATGACGGGTGTCATTGAATTCTTTTGGGATAAATCGTGCAGAAAATGACGGATGGTCGTTCACATTCGAAAAAACCCGACTTGGCACAAATGGTTTCTAGCAAACAGGAAAATAGCTATGGGATTTTTGCGACACAAATGGTTTCTAGCGAACAGGGAAATGGCTATCGGATTTTGCGACAGATAATGGGTCGGATGACTATCAGGCTGAAGTAGCAATCCGGAACGATCCGGAGCCGGGGCGAGCCGAAGAACACGCGCCGGCGCAAAAGCGCTGTCAGAATGATGCCAGCCTAGTAATTCGATCCGGATCTTTCCGATGGCGTCAAAAATGGGTCGAAAAAACGCCAATGACCGAGATTCGTACACTGTAAATTTAGTAACCAAAAACGGTCCTTTAAGATCCGCGGATCACCACCCGCTTTTTTTCCTAGCGGTCCCGGTCGGTCTATTAATCAAACATAAAGTGCTTTTACATTGTGTTATTAAGTTTTACCTATCGTTAAAGTAGAGAAACTTTGCAACAAAGTTGCAAAAGTGTTGAAAAAAGTCGTAAATTCGGTCATAAATCCATTTTTAATTCAAATTCGTGTAGTTTTTATGCCTAGAAATAGCTATAAACAATTTAGAAACGCATCCGCTATTTATAAAAAAATTAGGCTTGCGGCGAGAAAAAGTTGTTCCCCCCATGAATACTCCCCCCCCCCCCACCCCTGCGAATCCTAAAGAACCCCAAACACAATTGGCTTGGAGTACATAACGACCAGGTATGGGTTTACTTTGATGCGGAAGGCCGGTTCGGTGAAGAAAACGAGTTTTGTTTCATTTATCGGAGGCGGGGACATTTTACGGTTTATATCCAAGGTCGGGTTCTATTATTTCAGAAAGAGGGTGGCCTTAAATCAACGGTTCTAAAATCAACTCGAGAAGCCCCGGAAACTGTTGCTTTGCATCCAGAAATCCTACTATATATAAAAAAATAGTGTGTGTGTGTGTGTCTGTGTAGATTTGCATCCACTTCCGGATGTATGTTCCGCTCATAACGGGTCAGGGAAGGAACTTTAGGGTATATTTGATATGTCATTAGGCGCGTAATAGACTGCAGATGACTGCCGACATAGTAAATTTTTTTAATTTGCTATTTTCGACGTTAAATTTAAGTTTTTATGAAAATACCTTTGGTAGGCATAATTTGCATACGCCGGAAATGGATATGGTCCATAAAATGAAGGTTTAGAGGAGCTTTTTCATTTTTGTCAACGGGATCCGTGCAGAATATGCAAAGTTAAGACTGCCATAGGGTCTAGAAACTCTGGCTCACCCTGGTCCTAATTAATTTTGTCTCAAGAATTTAGAAGCTGTTAGCGCTCCCCCCCATGATTTGAATTTTGAATTTGAATGCAGAATTTGGCTGAATTCGTGTAAGGACGGCGGGCAGACGGACATTAGAAATTTGTATATAGTAGATTAGCATTGAAAACCTCTGTACGGATTCCGAAAAATCCCTTTCATTCCACTCGACACTCCCGACAATTTCGGCCTCGCCTACTCGACCGTCGATGAGGCGTCGTCATCGGTTCCTGACGGACACGATGCCGATCCTCTACCTACTAATTATCGTCTTCTTCAGCGACAGCCACGGCAATCCGTCAGTTTTTTTGGGCAGTCACGCGACTTTTAAGAGTTTTTGATCTACTTTGATGGTTCCTTGCCGTCCACTTTTGCTTTACTTCCCTACTTCAATTGTTCCAGTGATGGAAATATTCGGCAGCCGCCAAGCGTCACTTTCGACCTCAATGACTTCTCATCTTCCCTGTACGGCCACAACCACCACCGGACCCGACGTGATGAAGAAATCCAAAATGTTTGCAAAGCCACATGGTTTTTAATGCGTAATTTAGTGCCGTGCGCATCGTCATTTCCTTTGTTATGCCTACGAACATCTGGCAAATGAAGGAATGGTGATACCAGAATGGCTGAAGCCTCTATGTCCTGCCTGCAAAGCCCCAATCTGCACAGCGTCTAGCACTACGCAGGAAGAAGATCAAAGGCTGGGCGTGTCGAGTGCATGTCGACCAAAATTTTGTGTGAGTGCAACGAAATCCTGGATTGGCTACGGCTTACTTTACTTCCCCACCCCCTGCGGAAGCTTTTAGCTACAACTTTTTATTTCAAATTATTTCAGGGTCTTGCTTATTTGGGAGGAAGAGGATCTATTTATTTAGGGTATTTTAGGCATAAATTAAAACTCATAGTTTATTTTTTGAAGCCCGATCGAATGGGGTTTAGAAAATCCCCCAAAAATGGGGAAATTAACGAAAACTTTGGTGCTAATGCACTTCTGTGGGGGGGCAGTCTGGATTTTGACTACGAGACGCTCCAAATGCCGTTTTTAAACTCGAAGCCTCCGAAAAAGCTAAGCTAAAGTAAGCCTATACCTGGGCTTAGCTTTATACAAACGGAACCTAATATTAGCTTGAGCCAAGCTAAGCTTAGTTCTAAGAATAATTTTCGAGCAATGGTAAAACGGGGTTGCGGACGGCGGGAGTCGAACCCGCGGCCTCCTGTTTTCCGTACAGGTGCTCTTCCGCTGAGCTACACGCGTCCCGAATCACCATCGCTCGAGGCCGAGGATGATGGAAAGGATGGACTGATTCACGCCATGGCACTCAGCCGTTTCCGGGGCCTTTCCCCTTCTCTTGCCAATTCTTTACATAAGCTAACCCATAAATGACCCGATCTGGACCTCGTAAGTCAATTTAAAGCAAGGATAAGCTTAGCTTAAACTTAGGCGTACGCCTAAGCCTAAGTTAGCTTTAGTTAACGCTACGTTAAGCCAAGGCTTGAGCTGAAGACCAAGTAGCTCAAGCGGAGCGCCTCGTAACCCCTTACTACCAATTTTGGACTGCCCGCCCCCCCTAACTGCATTAGCGCCACGACTTTAGGCCCTTCGGCCGTGGGGGGCAGGGGTAAAGGAAACTCTCACCCGTAGAGTTCAATTTCCGGAACAATGCAGATATCCGGGGGGATTTAGACGGGGGCAATCTGCGTCTCTTTGCGCGCTGCTCTCTACGTACCCCCTCGGCCTATATGCCCCCCCCCCCCGCTTATCTGAATTGTCCCCAGTTTCCCAACCTTGCTAACCGAAAAGTACCATAATCATTTATAGGCGGCTGAATATAAGGAAGAATCCGGTGCTCCAGATTGCATCATGCCTGTAACGATTAACAACGGGAAAGGTATTGGTTCTCAATTAGTGAATCTTAAATATTTATAAAAATGAAGTTCTGTTCCCTTTCAATCTGTGCACCCGGGAAATGTTAGCATCCGGGAAATGTGAAGGGAAGGCCTGGTGGGATTCTTGGTCTTTTCAGCGGATAATCCATTCAGGAGTACCAAGGTGTACGAGACTACCGCATTCGCGTTATCCAACAAATACTTGGCACAATGTGATGCCGGCTTCATAGTCCCCCAGTGAGTTTTTTCTTTTCTAAGAACCAGGGTTGAAAAGCCGCTTCGCGACTTTTCAACCCTGGGCCCCGTCTTACCCCCATACTTCGTCACTTTGCATAAACACTTGAATTCCTGTGCAGAAAAATGAAAAGCGCGTCCTCTCCGCCGTTATATAGGCTTCCCCCACTTCCGGTGCATGCTAATTGATTCCTAACAAAGAGGCCGAGCAAGATTTTCACAAAAACTTAATTTTAATGTCGAAAACAGCTGATTTTTAAAAATCTTATATGCGTGCAGTTGTGTCATGACCATTACGCACCTAATGACGTATCATACACCCCCTTGACTTCTTCCATTCTTGAGATACGACTGGAACATACGGACGGAAGTTGCATGCAAATGCACACACACACACACAGACACTATTTTTTTATATATAGTAGGATACCACCCGCTTGCAGGTTTTAACCGTAACAGTGCACTTAACGTACGGATCCACAAATTTAAAGCCCTTCTTAAAATTAAAAAAAAACACTTTTTTAGGCTGATCCACGACGCAATCGCGAAACATGACGCCGTGGATGGCCGTCCAAAACCGACATGCGTCCCAAGTCTCCACAGGGCCGCCGGGTACGCCAGTGGCGATTTCTCACCATTTGTCGACTATTCATTTGATGTTCTGGATCCACTAAGCATTACGGTAATGTACGATTTCGGGGTAATACATTCCATCTGTAGTATTGCGGCAAGGGAGGACGACCACCAAGTGTGCACTGTGAGCCACTACCACTCTGCGACAGAGACGGAAACGTCCCGTAAGGCGTTAACAGAAACACAACAGACATTTTTTGCAGCCGAGCGGAGCTGGACAAAGAAGACATCATGAAGGCATCAGCCTGCGACAAGCCATGTGTATACCAATTCGGTGCTTCCTATGATGACTGTGTCTTTCTGGATGTCTCGAATCCAGGAGGAGCCATTCCTTACTTCACAGCCCGGCGGGCACTGGTGGGTTATATTTAATAGCTCGGTTAAAAAAGAAACTTGAGTTATTGAACACTACACCAGGCGAGTAAGGGAACAATCTATTGTGCGGCTCTAAAATTTGTTTTGTACCTAGTCCGGCCCGTACGCCGTCTTCATGGATGAAACGGAGAATCTGATGCTTGGTGCCGTGAAAAGCGGTGAGGAATCGACGGCGGCGCCGAATGCGTCGGATACTCCGAACACGGCAACAAATAACCCCACCAAAGGAGAACCGGATAATGCATCTTCTCTTCACCATAAGCGAGAGGTACGAATCATAGTAATGTGATCTTTTTGTGGTTCTTGTGTATTCTCGGGGGGAAGAATTCGTGGGAAACCAACTTTTTTTCTTGTCGGCCCTGGTGGGGATAGTAATCAAATATAAAGTGTTTTCACATTGTTTTTAGCAAAATTTAAGCTTATTGGAATTGGAAAAACTTTTTAAGAAGTTAGAAAAACGCTTGAAAAAGTCGAAAATTTGGTCATTTTGGGCCGAAAAAAATCGATTTTTCGACCTAAAATTAAATTTTGTAATGTTTTTGTGTTTAGGAATAGCAATAAACAACTTAGAAACACTTCCACTATTTATATAAAAAATCTAGGCCAAAAAAAGTTCGGTTTCCCCCCACAAATTCTCCCCCGGGAATACACAAGAACCCGTTTTGTATACCATGCAACACATGGATGTCTTATTGGGATTGCCTGCAGCCAGGCTGACTGAATAACTTTCCAGATTCTGCCGTTCCTGTCGCAGGATGAGAGAAACGATCGTGTTCGCCGCCAAGATCACATCCCGGAGAAGATTCAATACCCCCGATGCATCAATGTGGCCGGATTGGCGGTAACTTCATAACATCTGCAGATGTAAATGGTAGTATTTTAGGCCGAGGATCTGCAGAGGGTCAAGGGCGACCAGTTTCTGAACTGCGACACGAACATCTTTGTCCAGTTCCGAAACGGCAACACCAGCGGACTGGCCATCGACCCGCCGCCATGCGACGGAGCCAATGACACTGTAGGATGTTTCTGAAAAGTTTTGATAATTCCTTTGTGTTCAATACCTTTGAAAACCAATTATTTTCAGAGAATCTGTACGCATCGCTATGGGGCCCCAACGGAAACGACCCCCATCCCCCCGGCCACGACAGCTGCTGCTCTATCGACTGAGACGTTGATCGGAATTGGGGCTGGTCAGAAACCTTTTCCACACCTTTGATGCCATGATTAAGGTGTCGGCGGCGTCTTACTGTTGACTGTCTGTGGTGCACTTCTGGGTTGCATGCTCAAAAAGTAATCGTCCCCGAGTCTTCTGATCTGTGCGTTTAGGAAGAAGCCGAAGGAGAAGGATGTGGAAAAGGTAGCTGTGGAGCCACCTGCCACTCCAGTCGTTCCGGAACCGATCGTCGTCACACCTGCTCCCGCAGTTTCTCCGGCGATCGCAGCCGTCGTCCATACAACCCAGACCTCTGCACCGCCGCCTCTCGCCGCCGCCAAGCCTGCCGCTGTGGTGGCGCCGCCGATTCCAGAACCATCTCCAAAGGTCCGCGAATTGTCCCTGAAGACGGCACCATCGGAAATCGTCGACCTCTCTGAAGGCCAATACAAGCTCATCACTACAAATATCGAAGGAGGGCACAAGGCGCATTTGGAGAAGATGGTAATGAATAACTCGAAGCTACCATGTTGGAGCTGGCTTTAGTTCGGTTCTTTAGGATTCGCGTGGGGGAAGGGGGTACCGGGAAACCAAAATTTTTTTCTGGCGGAGCCGGTTGACCTAGTAATCAAATATAAAGTGTTTTTACTTCCCTTACAACACTTTTTCTAGAGAGTGGGATTGTCCTAATTGGCGGTTTGGAGTTTCTGCTACAAATGCCGAAAAAGTCGTCCTTCTGGGCCATAGTTGGGTTTTGCTACCTTTGGGAGGGCAGCTACCAACGCTTTCACAACGGCTACACCGCCAAGAAGATGCACAAGGAGGGTGTGCCAAGAGAACGGGGCTCCTAACTCCACAAGCAACTCACTGCGCCTTACAAGACGCTAGGAGAAAACCAAAAACTTGTTAGAAAGACTAGAATGTAATTAGGAAAACAATAATTTAGTGAGATAAGTTTATTGCGAATAATCTACGTGAGGGAAATTGATGAGAGTGAGAATTTAGAGGGGAACGATGTAAAAAGGAGTTACGGGGGCAAATAAAGCGGGGAAATCTAGGGGATGGGGAGGAGAACTAGGGGACGGGAAAGTTTGCGGGAAAAACAGGCGGCAACGGGCGGCAGCGGCGCCCAAAAATCCGCGACGGACTGGGACGAGGGCTCTCTTCTCTGTGCGGCGGCGATCCTTGTGCGCGCGCCGTGGCCTCGGCGATGGTATCGCAATGTACTCGTGCGAAAAGGGGCTCGAGGGAAGGGGAGCAGGGGGCTCAACCCAACTCCATGCCTCGTTGGCATTAATTTCGCGACATTCCGGGGCCAACGGCCAGTACTCCAGTTTTTTTTGCAGACGTCCGGAAGCCAAGCAGACTTCGCACCACCGCAAAATCGCTACGACCTTGCTGCGCGCGGCTTCGCGCTGAGAATCGATCTCGAGAAGCATGTGGGTTTTGCATTCAGCGTTGGATTTGGTGGGCCCCAAATCCCGGGGCTAACAACCGCCCTGCGCTTATAGAATAGTGTTATCTGCGATTGTAGCCAGCCAGCCAAAATCTCGGCCACAGAACTTTCGTTCAAAACTGTTATTTGAAGTTTGCGGAAATGGCGCCAGATTTTTCTTTAGGATTTCACGAGGGGGGGGGGGGAGATTTTATTTGATTGCCCAATTGAAAAACAGTGGAATCAGATTATCAAGATCCGATTTGCAGAACGCCTGGAAATCGAAGCAGCCTCCGAGGACACACGAAAAGGAACTTCTACATATTACCGGCAACCCACTGCCAACGGCCTATGGAGCGGCGTACAGGATTATCGAAGAGTTGAGCAGCCCCTACTATCTGTCGGAGGACAACAAAGAGGTGGCTAGGGCAGACAGCTGCATGGCCAGTTCTGTCGTGGGGGGCGGCAAGGGGAGAAGGCGGCGGCCAAATTTCCTGACGGATTAGAGTGCAACTAGCCCCTCAGCCGGCACCCCACTTTTGTATCTCGGCTCCCTGTGGCTCCACCGGGTTGTAAACTCACCAAAAATACTCGCCCGAGCAAGGCGAACATTTTAGTATACCTTACACACCTGTACAGTAACGGAGAGTCGAGATACGAAAGTTGAGGCCGGCCGATGGGGAGGGGGACTCTACATAATACGACCTCACGACCTTTATAAATTCCAAAACTGAAGTGTTCATCTTCAAAATCGCGGGATAAACAGCACTGCAGGACGAAAATTTGCCTACAGGGTGTCCCAAAAAAACGAACCATCTGGCATTTTGCCGTGTTACATCCAATCGGCCCCAAATTTGGACCAGAGTTGTATCAGACACTTAATAACAACAATCCAGATTTGTAGTCCCGTCGCTGTAGTAGTTTTCTATTTATAGCAAAAAAAACTTTATTTTCCATTTTTTATGGAGTTTCCGTGGAATTAGACCCCATAACCATTATGTGAAAATGATTCGGCAAGCCCTCTTTACTTTAAAATTTTTCCGGGCTGAAATTAAACAAATCAGCTTCGATTTAAGCGATTTTTACAACGCAAAATTACCCACCTTCTTAAGCGAAATTAGGGATTCGCAACAGGAAGTCGAAGCATATCGATGCACAGTCCAAAAGATAGCCGAAAAAATGTTTAGAATTACGTGAAAAACAGTATTTTCGTGATAACTGCAGAACGACTGGAGCTAGGGGGGTATAACTCAGGATTGGTGATATTTAGGGTCTGATAGAACTCTGGTCCAATTTTGGGGCGTGTTGGATGTAACACGGCGAAATCCCAGATGGTTCGTTTTTTGGGACACCCTGTAGACGACAAGTCTCACACGAGCACACAGCGCGAGTAGTAATCACCAGATTCACCGGCCGCCCGAAAAAATGGCGAAAAGATTAAAACAATTTTCAGCCGAAATACAACCCGTCCGGGGATCACATTCAAATCTTGTGCGAACGATTGGGTGATATGGTGAAGCGAGAGAAGCACGTGGCGAGGCCGGAAGGGCGGACGATTGTCGTCGGAGACCTTCATGGAAATGTGAGCATCTTCAAATCCACAATCTTCGAAACTATGCTTAGATTTAAACATATTATTTCACATGTCATTTTGTGGCAATTTATTGTTTTTTCGGGGTTGCCTCGATGTCTCCAGGCAAAATGGCCCAAAGGTGCCGTTAATTAGGTGCAATGGCCGTTTGAAATGCGTTTCAATAAAAACATGGTTTTGAAGATTGTTTCCAACTCGCCGTTTCGAATCTTACGAATGCTGTAACTATTTTTCCCAACCAATGCATCATCATCAAGTTACAGGCGGATGTTTTTATTGTGATACCGTCTACTTCGTTTCCAGTTCAACGACCTTTGGCGCATCATCCATGCTTGGCTGTCGGATGTGGTTGACGGAGGGCCCGGCCAAAAGTAGCTTTCCTTTTTTTACGCCAACTCGAAGAGCATGGTCCAATTATTAGGATGGCAGTATTTTAAGAATTTTCAAAGATACATTTCCGGGTTAAAGCGCCGGCTGAAGTTGCCAATACAAAAAAGTCTTGGTTCCGGATGGTCTGAGATCCGGAATGTTCCGGAAAAACAACCCTAATCTCGAGTACGTGATTGAACCATTTTCCGGTTATTTTCGTGCTTTGCAATGTATTAGAAAAATCCCCATATTTCAAAACGTGTTCCCGAAAGTTTCAGCCAATTTCGTCAGGCGGCTGCGAGATAAATTTTTGGTGTTGGCAACTTTGGCTACCAATTTAACCCGACAGTTTAACTCTTAAAATTCATTAATGCTGCTATCCTACTAACTGGACCATGTCCAGATGGCGTCCAGATAGCGTCAAAAAATTGGGTCGGGGAAGAATTGTGCGAAGCCTTTTTCCGTCGTCTCGCAAACGGCCTTTTAAGCATCATGTTCCTCGGAGACATCGTCGATCGCGGCCCCCGTCAACTTGAATGCTTGCTGCTGATTATGGCGTACAAAATGCACTACCCCTACCAGGTTTTGGATTTTGGCTGACTTTGCACGATAAGGGGTTTCTTGTTCGGTAAGGGTCCATTTTACCCTCCTCCCCCAGACCCAGAAGTCCTATGAATGTGCCCAGTATGTCAACATGTCGCCGTGCTGTACCTTTTAGCGGAACGGAATGAACAGAATGAAACACAACAATTTGCATGGCGTGGATAAAAAAAATCCCGCAGCAGTTCTTTCACACTATCGGGGGGAAGGAAGTTTATAGGGGGAAACTGCTTTCTTTGGATCTGATTTTTCAAATGTAAGTAGTGGAAAGGTTTCTAAATAGTTTTGTTACTTACTTAATACTTAATCCTACTATATATAAAAAAAATAGTGTTTGTGTGTGTGTGCCACTTTGCATGCAACTTCCGTCACCATGTCCGGAGGATATCTCGATAGGGGATAAATTTTAAGTTATGTATGATACGTCATTAGGTGCGTAATGGCTCTGGGATGACTGCACGCTTATCGGATTTACCAAAATTGCCTATTTTCGACATTAAATTTAGGTTTTTGTTAAAAAAATCGGGGAATCTCTTTGTTAGGAAAAAATTAGCATGCGCAGGAAGTGACGGCAGCCTATATAATGGGGTAGAAGGCGCGATTTTTATTTTTTGTCATCGGAATTCGAGAATTATGCAAAGTGAAGTAGATCATGAGATCAGACGGGGCCAGGGTTGAAAAGTCGCGAAGCGGCTTTTCAACCCTGGTCCTACTTAATACTTAATACTGGAAACTTACTTAATCGTGAAAACTGTACAATCCCACTATATCAACTAAAATAATTTTGGTTTGATAAAGTTTTAGTTTAAATTATTAAATTTAACTTTGGAAGTTTTTCCTTAGTAAAAGGAAAGGGGACGGGGGTTTGCACGATTTTGGACATAGTGAGCCAGATCGCGCGCGTTTCGGCGAGGGGCAGCCGAAGTCCAGCTCCCAGTCGGCTTCGCCGCTGCAAGCGGCTGGTATAAAAGAATAGTGTTTGTGTGTGTATGACACTTTGCATGCAACTTCCGTTAGGTTGTGCCAGTAGTATCTCAATAGGGGGGGAGGTAGTTAGGGGTATGTTTGATACGTCATTAGGTGCGTAATGGCCCGTTGATGACAGCATATTAATAACCATTTCAAAAATTTGGACGTTAAAATTAGGTTTCTGCTGAAAAATCAGGAACCGTTTTTGTTAGGGAAGAATACGCCGGAAGTGGCGACCAAAATGTAGTTTTTTTTAAAGTTTTTTGCTAGTTTTTCGTGTTGAAATATAGTTATCCTACTATATATAAAAAAGTAGTGTCTGTGTGCGTTTGTGTGTGTGTGCCACTTTGCATCCACTTCCTTCTGTCGGTCCGGAGGATATCTCAGGAAGGGAAGTGTATCAAGGTATGTATGCTACCCCATTAGATGCAGAATGGTCTGGACATGACTGCACACATCTGAGATTCAACAAAATCACTTATTTTCGACATTAAATTTCAGTTTTTGTGAAAACCTTTTTGTTAGGAATAATTAGCATGGACCGGAAGTGGGGATTCGACTATATAATGGACAGGAGAGGTAGTTTTTCATCGTTTGTCATTAGAATTTAGGACAATTATGCAAAGTAAATGATAAAATGGGGTCACATGGGGCCAGGGTTGAAAAGTCGCGAAGCGGCTTTTCAACCCTCGTCTATCACTAAAAAAAACACTGTGAAGACACGGTCTGGTAAGGTACGAGGCATTCCTAAACTTACAGAAAAATTTCGATCCCCCCCCCCCTTGATAATACGAAAGAACCCCCGCAAATTGTTGCAGCACAATTCGTTGTACCGTTTGTCTAGGTGTTCATCGTCCGTGGCAACCACGAAGAGGACCAAGTTTGCTACGATTTTCAAGAACATATGGTTGCACGCGGGTACCGCGCCGAGATCCACCCAACACAAGACGTGACCGGTGAAGAGCCGCAGCAGAAACCGCGAAAAAAGGACGCAATCGATGCGCTTCTCAGTTTCTTCGAAAAGCTTCCGGTTATTGGGCTAATTGACGACCGGATTCTGTGCATGCACGGCATGCTCAGTGGGTTTTTTTACAGCAAACGATGCGGGTTCAGCGCAATCACTTCCGTTCGCGGTTCTGGACTCGTATCGGGGGATTTTGAGCTGGGGAAAACGACTTTTTGCTTTCCACCTATCCTTTCTGTTGATCATCTATACTGTATTTTTTTTGTTTTGCTTGCTGGAAAGTTATAAAAATGACGTTAAATTGGTTGAACGGGTTTCGCCATTTTCCATACATTTCTGAAATTTCGATAATTTGTCATTTCGTTTTTATAATTAGAAACTATGTAAAAGGCTATAACCTGGCTGATATTCGGCAGAATACCCTGGAACAATGTTTCTTAGCCCTAAAGTTTAAATTTGTCAATCAATATTGATAAAAAAATTAACAAAGAACTCACTAGGGAAGTCCAAGATACCCGCAACACGAATCGGGCTGAAAATTTGCACAGTTATAGAGCCGACCATGCTGATCATCGCCTCGTTTTCTGAATTTGCTACCGAGCTTAAATAATTAAGATATTAAACTTTTAAAATGGGCCAAAAACCCGCTACCCTGATCCTGGCTCACTAGAGCGGGTGGGGTTCAAGAGGCCTTTGGGAAGCCCCCTTTCCAGAGCTTCGGTAGTTAACTGGTAAGCGCCTCGCTTCCCAGGTGGAGGGTCCGGGTTCGGACCCGGTCCGCGCATTTTTCTTTTGCTTTTTGCTAATTTTGCGCCGCACATGTGGCGCGTGTCCAGATTGTGTTATGCAAACGCATTTACGTACATCCTAGAAATGAAATTCAACAAAATCATAAATTTAAGAAAAAAGTTCATAAAAACAACACTAGTAAAAAAATTGTAAAAACGGCAGCAACCGGCTCATCTGCGTGTAGTAAAAAACACGCTCTGGACACGCGCCACATGTGCGGCGCAAAATTAGCAAAAGCAAAAGAAAAATGCGCGGACCGGGTCCGAACCCGGACCCTCCACCTGGGAAGCGAGGCGCTTACCAGTTAACTACCGAAGCTCTGGAAAGGGGGCTTCCCAAAGGCCTCTTGAACCCCACCCGCTCTAGTGAGCCAGGATCAGGGTAGCGGGTTTTTGGCCCATTTTAAAAGTTTAATATCTTAATTATTTAAGCTCGGTAGCAAATTCGGAAAACGAGGCGATGATCAGCATGGTCGGTTCTATAACTGTGCAAATTTTCAGCCCGATTCGTGTTGCGGGTATCTTGGACTTCCCTAGTCAGATTCATAAATAGATTAAAATGTCAAAAATATCGATTTCTTGACCAAAAATAGCCGATTTTTATCAAAATTCAACCAAAAAGGATCAAATTCCAGCACCCGAGCTGACGCGAGGCGTTCTGAAAACTGGCTGGGAAATGGAGCAGACGCTATACGCTGGGATGGCCAGGCTATTGCGCTGGAACGATCCGTCAGAAGATGTTGAACAGTAGGTTCACCTCGGACGGTTCTGGGTCGTTAGCAGGGCGGAGGGGGAGTTTATCGGGCCAGAGGTCCATATCGTGGATCCTCCTATATATCCTACCTTATATAATTTGGTCGCGTATCTTTGTCTGTGTGTGTGTGCGGAGGTCAGTTTCGAGGCCCGATTTGAGGCCCTTCCCGTGTCCAAAACGCCCCAATTTTTCGTCACTCGGGGGGAATCGTCCCTCCTCTATCCGATGGTGTTTTCAGAATTCCGATAAAATACAAGTTTACAAAGTTAAAGGCGATTTTATTCATTTTTGGGGTCCGGGAGGGCTAATTTACATATTGTGAAAAAATAAAAATTTCCTCATTCTTGCAAGTTGCACGCGCGGGTGTGGTCGGATGAAGAGAGGGGTCCGAAGGACCCGAGCTATCAGAAAGTCAAATTTTTTCATGCAACGCGCATTCCAGCGCCCAAGGCCCGCGAAGCGGGTTTTGGGCGCTGGTTCAAAAATAGTTTCTATTAAACACCTCCCTAGGGTGGTATAGATAAGTTAAAACAGTTTGAAAGGGCACCGGGGGGCGGGGGGGTGGGGTACCGTATGCCTGGGGGCGCGCAATAGCGGGACGGGGGCAGACGTGTGTAGGATTGGGGACCCGTCCCCCATGGGGGTATTGGCAGAGTATAATCATCCTTAATTAATGCTTAGGAATCCACGTTTCCCAAATTTTCTCAGTAATCCACATTAAGTGTCGGAAATTTTTACGTGCACCTATCAATTTTGTTTAGGTGCTGTTAAAAATCATGTTTAGTGTCGAGCCCAATGCGACGCGAAACTTCGGCCAGCTATTGGGCCCTCACGCTATCGAAGGCGCGATTGAACGTCTTCACGTCGACTTCGTCATCCGTGGTCACCAGGTACAGATGGGAAAACTATTCAGCCGTTCAGAAAGTTAGCTCCGCGGACTTGACTTTGTTTATGAATTTTATGCTTGGTCTTTTTAGCATCCAGGTTTTCGGTCAGCTAATGTATCTATACTTACTAGACAATCTCTAATAGACCCTGCAGCTGAGAGATAATTTTTCCTGATTCAAATTATACATCCCATTAATGCGCGCTTCGCCTTACTGTAAAGTGTTTTTACTCAAGTTGGACTTTCGATTCGGGACCAAATGCATCTTGTGCAAAAATTTTTGCTGATTCCGAATCCGTTTTCCAAATTTACTGCGGACTCTTATTTTTTGGCATTTACGAGCCAATTTTGCATAAATCTTGCCGAAAAATTCCATTTTTCCGGCTAAATTCAAGTAAACGGTAACCTAGCCACATCTAAACTTTTTATATGTAGAAATGTTCAACTCGACGAGATGGTTCAGGATCAATTGGAAAAACAATTGGGAAACAATTTTGGAGCGAGATATAGGCGTCCAAAGTTCGAACAGCAAAAGGGCCAAAAAAGGCCTGTTTCCCTTGAATATTTCACTCTAATACACTCAAACGTTACCTAAAAATAAGGCTTCGTGCCACCCGGGACCTAGTCGCTTCGGATGGGTGCGAGCCCGTACAGGGCTTCGAAATGCAGGCGCCAAGGCCGTACAAAGGAGTGTCGCGTAGCCCAAACTTTCCGAAAACACAGTTTCAAACCTTCATAACTTTCCTTATGCAGTTTTCCCAATCATTCTTTTAACAGATATCGGCTCTGCTCGACGAGATACACATTTCTACACATAAAACATGCCTGTTTGGATAGGTGACCGTATACTTAACTAGCTAGATTTGAACCCCCCTAGATTTCGCTCGAGAAGTATTTCACAATCGTTTTTTCGGTTCTTTAGGATTCCCGGGGGGGGGGGACCAAATTTTTTTTTCGGCACCAGTTCAATAACCGGCACCTTTTACTAGGCGATGACGAACGGCGTGCGCCGATTTGCCAACCTCCCGTTGGCTACCGTCTTCTCGTCTTCGTACTACCTAAACACGGTAAGGCCATTTGAGACTTTTTGCATTTGCAAGGAGGAAGCAGTTTCAGCAATTACTAAACATAAACGATCAAAAAATTAAAATTAAATTGTTTTGATCCAAAACCACCAAATTTTCGGCCTTTTCCAACTTTACTCTAACTACCCATCATTTTTTTGCTAGATCGTTTCTCACTGGTTTTTTGCTGGAAATATGTAGACGTGCCCATAATTACAGTTTCAAGTACCTCGTTCAAAAGAAAGCTACGCTTCATTTTAGCAGAATTTCGGCGCCGTTCTCTTCGTCAATCCTGTGAAAAACGAGATCGTGCCGATCTTCATCGTGAACCACAAGGACAGCATCAAGAGTGCGTGGGGATCCTATAGATATCGCGGAAACCCAACATGGTGCCCAGGAAAAAGCTGAAAAAAATTTGGGCCACAGTATCTCGCCAACCGCAGCAAATCGTGGCATCGCTATGAGGCTAGAATACTTAAATATTCTGGGCATAATGAACAAGAAATAAAGAAGGGGGTTACCGCTCAAGCTTGCGACAGGCTTTATCTCGAAGCAAACCGCTCAAGCTGGGGCCGCTGGATAAAGACCTGGCCGATCAAAAATGCGCCGCAGGCCTAATAACGACACTAGCAATTTAAGCTTGCACCGCATGAGAATACAAAGAGGTTTGCATGGGAGATGTGTTTTTCTTTCTTCAGGGTAACTTTATGTGTAAGGGCGCTCGATTCATAGGGCCTAGACGGGGTCCAGCGGGGGAGAGTCGCGAAGCGGCTCCTCCCCCGCTGGTACTTAAATATTCTGGGCATAATGAACAAGAAATGTAATTTACGATTGTGGATCGCACCGATTCTGACGGTTGATGCGGCAGGTCGATATTCCGTACCACTCGATCCAAACCCATTTCGAGCACTTTATCTTGATACTCTTCGCGTCCCTCTAACTCCTCAAAAGTCCCATACACAAAAGTCAGGGCGTGGGCGCTTCTAATATTAGAAAGCGAGCCAGGTTTCGGAAAATACGATATCAATGTTGTTTCAGCGCAAGAGGAATTCGACGAGAAGCTGCGTGAGGGCTGGAAAGTCGATGATTATGCGGTCATCCCCGACGTGAGTCGTCTATTCGATATCCCGGACGTTTCTAAGATCTACCGATGCTTTGCTTTGCAGGACATCACGGTGAAGGGAGAGAAGAAGTAAACGCAGAAGAACGGACACCTATGAAACTCGACGAAACAACCGACGACACTGACTGATCCAAAAAGCTACACGCAAACACCGCCCATATCGCATCACTCTGTCTTTGTTTTGCTGACCAATGTCCTTGATCTTTGGGATAAACGGTGAAAAAACGAGGCCCTGATTTTGGGCAGGCGACAAAGGGATACCTCTATCTAACACGGTGGTCTCACAAGGAGACACTTTTGGGTGACAAAGTTTCGCATTGGCACCCGGCCTATCTTGTGCAAAATTTATTGCTGATTCCAAAGATGTCTTCAATTTTTGCCAAATACCCTAATTTAAAAAGTTACAGCAATTTTACATCATTTTGGCCCAAATTTTCCCATCTCAAGGCCCACTATTTTGATAGTATTCAGCAATTTTTGCTCTGTAAAATAAGACCTTTAAAAGGCCGTCCGCCAGTCACTCGAACTGTTCCCATTATGGCTTGGCACAGTTTTTTCGACCCTATTTTTTATGATGCCACCAGGGTAAAATTTAACTTTACATAGGGCTTGTCGAATGCCGATCACCAAAAAATGAAAAGCGCACCCTCCCTTCCGTTTTATAGGCTACTTATTACTTCCGGTCAATGCTAATTACCTCTAACAAAGAGGTTTTTCGATATATTTACAAAAAACTTGATTTCAATAGCGAAAACAGCCGATTTTTTAAAATTTTATACGTGTGCACCCATCTCGGGACCATTACGCATCTAATGACGTATCAAACATACCTTAAAAACCTTCCCCTGAGGCTGTAGGTGCGGTACATACTTACGGAAGTTGCATACAAATATACACACACACACACAGACACTATTTTTTTATATATAGTAGGATCTGAAAGAGCGTGTCCGAATTAGTAGGGTGGCATTGTTTTGAAAGTTTAAAAAGTTTATTTTTAAGGTTTAAATGGCCGTTAAAGTTGCCGACATCGAAAACCTATCACGAAAGTTACTGGACCAAACTTGCTAAAAATTTGTGACAATACCTTATTTAAGATGGAGATCATTTCTCTAATACATTTCTAAACTTGAAAATGGCCGGAACATAGGAATCTCGCGTACTAAAAACGGTTTTTTAAGATTTTCTATTTAATGGGAAATCGGCGGCATCCTGAAAGTAACATAGAAAGATGCGCCATTTTTTTCTACGTTGAATGATGTGTCTTTTAGGATGCCGCCGTTTTCCCATCATCCGTAAAAACGGCATTTTCTTGATGAAAAAAAGAAAAATATCCAGGTTTTCAAACGGGGAGTCATCCACTTGCTTCTAGAAGCGCAGCCAAGGCAATTGCAGAAAAGAGTAAAAAGAAATTCGGTTTCTAAAAGGGGGCTGGGATTGAACTCGGGTCGTTCGCCTGGGAGGTGACGGCGCCCTCTAGCCTCTGTCCCCAGAGCCCACCAGGTGGACCATCGCGGGTTCGATTCCCCTCCGTACTCAACTTCGCGTAGATGAGGAATTTCATTTTGCTCTTTTTTGATATTGGGTGGCATTGATCTCCAGATGCTTTCCGCAATCCGTTATATTTCTCATTCTCATTCTTTCACTTTTCTAGATGATGGGAAAACGGCGGCATCCTAAAAGACACATTATTCAACGTAGAAAAAAATGGCGCATCTTTCTATGTTACTTTCAGGATGCCGCCGATTTCCCATTAAATAGAAAATCTTAAAAAAACCGTTTTTAATACGCGAGATTCCTATGTTCCGGCCATTTTCAAGTTTTGAAATGTATTAGAGAAATGATCTCCATCCCAAATTAGGTATTGACACAAATTTTCAGCAAGTTTGGTCTAGTAACTTTCGAGATAGGTTTTCGATGTCGGCAACTTTAACGGCCCTTTAAACCCCAAAAATCAACTTTTTAAACTTTCAAAACTATATGGCCCCACTAATTCGATCATGCTCTATCCCATGGCGTCAAAAAAACAGGGTCGAAAAAAACTGGGCCAAGCCTATTTCGGTCCTGCCGCAAACGGCCTTTTAACTCAAATTTGATAAAAACTGAAAATATTGATGGTTTGGTATGGACTCCGATTTTTTTTATAAGGCGGTGAAAAATAACCTATTTCACACGCCCTGAAGCGGTCGCCTAAAGCTACTAACGCAATAGAAAAATTTACGACTCGAATCAGAATAAATTCTCCATCCAATATGCTAAATAGATTAATTTGGAACATTAAAATATACGAAGAAGTCTAACCCGAATTTCGTGAAATAGTTTGAGGGCGAAGACAGGATCAATCTTGGAAGATCAAGTGCGATTTGCATCCCGAAAATCAAAAACTTAGCATTGGAAACTTGAGCTCGGACCCGGAGGAATCAATTTTATTCCACTGGACACTTCGTACACTTTCGGCCTCCTCTACTCGACCGTCGATGAGACGTCGTCATCGATTCCTGACGGACACGACGCGGATCGTCTACCGACTGATTATCGTGTTCTTCAGCACCGATCATGGCAATGCGTTAGTTTTTTGGATGCTTCCTAGACTTCGAAAAGTTTACTACAGCTAAACCCTCCCATTTGGATTATTTCAGTGATGGAAATATTCCGCCTTCGCTAAACGCCGCTCTTCACCACAAAGACACTTCATCTACCCTCTTCGCCAGCACCCACCACCGTATCAGGCGCGAAGATCCAGTTGGGACCCCTCACTCCTTTCAAACACTATTTCCTTAGTGTCCGGGTAACCGGCCTTTTCGTCTGCTACGCCCATGATCATTTGGCAGCGCTGGGAGTCGAGATGCAAGTCCAGCACTGGATGCAATCTGAATGCACCGCTTGCATCACCACGATCTGCGAAGAAAATGTCCAAACCGGCGGCAAAACAAGGCTGTTAGTCCGCGATCCTTGTCGACCAAATTTTTGCGTAAGTGCAACAAGTTTTAACAAGGGAAACAAATTTTTGTTGTTTTTCTCCCATGGCACCGCTAACAATCAAGTACACCTATATTCACATTTCACGATCCCGGCAGCCAGGGGCGTACACAACCCCAATTTTTTTTGGGGGGGCAACTCGAAAATTTCGACCTCCCCCCGTCGCCACTTTTAAAACATTCGAAAATCGCTGCGATAACTGAGCCGCAGGCGAAAGAATTAGCGAATTAATTCATTCAAAAAACGTTGGCAACGCTTAATGCATGTGAAATCCCTCGTCACTTGAAAAGGCGCCACAGGCAAGGGTTTATGGACAATTGATGCAGTAATGAAAAAACAGCGCGCCGCAGGCGAGGCGAAAATTTTTGGAAAATAGGCTTGATGGAAGTGAAAACTGGTCTTAAGAAACAGCCAATAAACAGCGCCAGCCGGCAGAAAAATTTTTAGTCAAAAAATCATAGGGGTGATGGACTACCCTGCCAGAACTTTTCGTTGCCTTCGGCCGATTTGGGGGGGCAACTTGCACCAGCTATTTCTAGACGGCCGACTATAAGGGAAAAGAATCCGGGCACCAGGTTGTATCCCTGCCCGTAACGATCAACGATGGGAAAGCGTATCACCTCTTTTTATCGATGATTCACCATCCGTTATAGATAGAGGTCCTGTTCCCCTTCAATCTCTGTACCCGGGAAATGCTAGCATCGGGGATATGCGAAGGAAAGGCATGGTGGGGTCGTTCGGTCATTATTGAAGGTTATAAACCACTCAGGAGCACGAATCCATACGCGATAACCGGAATACCGTTAACCAACCAATACCTTGTGCAATGTGACGCCGGCTTCATTGTGCCAGCGTAAGCATTTTTGTTTGTTTCTGCGACCACTTGAGTCCTTAGTAGGCAGTTTTGGAATATCTGCAGAGGTGATGTCTTTACAATGCGTTTTTATCCTGATTTAGAAAACCAGAAAAAGTTTTTGTTCAAAATATGCAAGACTTTTGACCAAAATCTCGAATTTCGGAAAGATTCGCCAAATAAGTGGTATGACGCCAAGATCTTTCTAGAATTGTCGTTGAAGCACATAATAAACATGGCGATGGGCCTGATGCACCGTCAATCACTTGTGTCCCGAGTCTCCACTTAGCCGCTGGATACGCTACTGAAGATCTATCGTTATTCAGCAATTACCCATACGATGCAGTTGATCCATTGAACATTGAGGTATTCAATAAATTCGGGTCAATAAATGCCAGTTGCAGTACTGCGGCAAGGGAGGGCGGCAGAAAGGCGACACGTGTCAGCCACTACCAATCTGCAAAAACGACGGTCGACCGCCGTAAGAAATTGCAAAAAACGTCTCAGATGACATTTTCCAGATCTTCGCTGTTTGCGTCGAAGGCCGTTCTTCATGCAAAGGACTGCGACAAGCCATGTGAATATGAATTCGGCGCCGCCACATACGAGGACTGTGTCATTCTGGATATCTCTAATCCGGGAGGAGTCGTCCCCTACTTCACAGCCCGACGAGCACTGGTCGGTTGTCATTAAAGGGACATTCCGCCCTCGTTTTCAAGGTCTTGAAATGGTCAACGCTTTAGCGAGCGGTTACGGTAGGTGCTCAGCGTTCGGCAAAACCGAACCCGCACCACTCGCCCTGGGGCAAGCGCCATAGACTAGTAGGCCATGAAAGGGACAGGGGAGGGCAAGGAGCGGGTGATATGAAGGGTCTGTGGGCCGGGCCTCCCGAGAGGCAAATTCGCGCTACTGACCTGGGTTTCAGAACGGGAGCGGAATGTACCTTTAAACAATCCTTTAAACGGGCGATCTATTTGTTATTGCGGCCCCTAAAACCTGCTTTCCATTTTCAGTCCGGCCCGTACGCCATCTTCATGGATCAAGCCGGGAATTTGATGCTTGGCGCCGTGACCAGCAGTGAGGGATCAACGGCGGCTCCGAACGTTCCGGAGACGTCGGACAAGGCAACAAATAACTCCACAAACAGTGGATACGAAGGGGCAATCACTCTTCATGACGAAAAAGAGGTACGAGCTATGCTGGTAGGAACACGGCGCTTCTTTTTCATATGCCGTGTAGGGCATGGGGCGTGTAGGGCATTTTGCGCATTGATACTAGCCAAGCTCGCTAAAATGAGCTAGTTTTTCCAGATCCTGCCGGTCTTGTCGCAAGATGAGAAAAACGGCCGTGTTCGCCGCCAAGATGACATCCCCGAGAAGATTCAATACCCACGATGCATCAATGTGGCCGGATTGGCGGTATCTTCACAACATCTGCAGATGAAAATAGTACCATTTTAGACCGAGGATCTGCAGAGGGTCAAGGGCGACCAGTTTCTGAACTGCGACACGAACATCTTTGTCCAGTTCCGAAACGGCAACACCAGCGGACTGGCCATCGACCCGCCGCCATGCGAGGGAGCCAATGACACTGTATGGTGATTTCCGATGAGTCTAGATAATTCCTTGTAGTTGAATGCCATTGACAATGAATCATTTCCAGAAAATCTGCACGCATCGCCACGGAGCTCAAACGGAAACGACCCCCATCCCTCCGGCCACAGAAGCTGCCGCTCTATCGACTGAGACGTTGATCGGAATTGGGGCTGGTCAGGCAATCTTCCTTCCTGCTGTTGATACCGTTATTCAGGAGTCGGCGGCGCGGTCCTACTGCTGGTCTGTGGTGCATTGCTGGCGTGGAAGCTCAAAAAGTAGTGCCCCTACTTGTTTTGTGCCCCGCAATGTCTTTTAGGAAGAACTCGGAAACGGTGGAGGATCCGGAAAAGGTGGCGGAGGGCGTGGAAACGCCAGCATCGCCAGAAACCTCAGCAACCCCAGCAACGCCGGCAACCCCAGCAACGCCACCAGCTTCTGCTGAACCAGCTCCGGTGGCCCCGACCAAATCGACTCCGGATGTGACCGTACCTGCCCCGGCTGCTCCCGAACCACCCAAGCCGCCACCAAAACCATTTAACCCAGCCGATGGTCAATACGAACTGGTCACCACCGACTTTGAAGGAGGATTGTTTGGGCTGATGAGGAAAATGGTAGTGTGCTCGCGGTTTACGGGGACCTTGCAAGTGAAGTGCACCAGATGCACGAGGTTTCTTTTTAAAAATAAGTGGATTTTTACAGGGTGTCCCCATAAAAAACCCCTCTCGACGTAGAAGTTTAGGATCAAGACCATAGTTACGCCATTCGAAAGTTTTGGAAACGGCGAGTCCGGGGCCATCTTCGATAGCTTGCTTTTATTTAAATGTGCTTTTACGAGCGATTTTTTAAAATTTCCCGGCTTTTCAGAGTTGCATACGGATAAGGCCTCGCTGGGGGGGAAGAAGGCCTGTTCTTTCCCGATCGCGTTAGCCCCCTGGCTGATTGGTTTTGTGCACGCCTGCCGCTCCCAAGGCTCGGGTTCGACCCCCAGCCGTGATCGCTTTTGCTTTTTTAAACAAAAGTTGGAAGTTGAATGTTTCTTCAAAGGGATAGCGATGACTTGCGCAGATTCGGCCGACCTATAAATGGAAAGTAGCTAGCTGGGCCAGTGAGGCGCAGAGACCCCCCCCCCCTTTCCCTCGCGTCACCTGTTTTCGGCTGATCTACATAGGCTGTCCTGATCCCTGTGATGTTTTTAGATGCTTGTAAAATTGAGGGTTCAGATAAAACATTGTTTTAAAGACTGTTACAAACTCGCCGTTTTAAAGACTTTCGAATCGTGTAACTACCATTCCGTACTGACACTTCCGCTACGAGCTAGACGGGGGTGTTTTTGATTGGGACACTCTGTAGTCACTGCAGCCAGTGGTCACTACGAGCCGTCATGCTGCGTTGCTTGTCGGCGCTTTTTAGCTGTGCTGTTTTCGAAATTTCCACCGCCAAACAGATTGCACGCCACAAAGCCAGCCCCAACGGCGTCGCTCGGCTCATTTGAGTCGTTCGACCGATGTGTTTAGACGGATATCTTCAACGCTGATGTCAGCCTCGCCATCAAGGTCGGCCTTACCGAAAAGCCAGTTCGCAGGGGTCACTCGGTCAGTTTCTCGAAGATTTGTGACGGGCATCTGTCCGCGGACAGCGTACGACCGTGCATTACCATTACCACACATTCATCCATTCATTCATTCATTTAGTTAGCACCGCGCGTGCGCAACCCCAGGCCAGGCACCTATGAACTGACGGACAAGGGCCATGCGCTGCGTATCGACATCGAGAAACTGGTGCGTGGATTTCCATTAAAAGGCCGATACATTATATTTGTTATACGGAACCAAGCCTATTCGGTGCCGAATTTTAGGCTTAAGTGCGTTTGCCCCCCCGCCAAGCCGACGCCGACTTTCCGTATCTCGGCTCCCCGTTATGATACCGCGTAGTTAAGTATACCAAAATACTCACCAGTGCAAGGCGAACATTTTGGTCCACTTTACGCACCTGTAGACCAACAGGGGGCCTAGATACAAAAGCTGGTAAACATCGGCTTGGGAAGGGGGCTCGTTCATTCAAATTTGTTGACTTCCAAGGAGGACCTTGCCAAACCACCTTTCAGAGAGCATGGAAATCGGCACACCCAAAGGAGCCCGACCGCCGACCGTACACCTGGGATGTTGGCATGGAGCCCGGCGGCACGAGGGGCGCGTTGCATATCCTCGAAAAGTTGAACAGTGAACAATATCTCTCGGAAGACAATGAAGGGGTATCATTTCGGTATATACTAGCGGTCAAAAATATGTATATCTCTTTGTCTCTCTCACTATTTCTCTGTCGCTCTTTATCTATCGCTCTCTCTGTCTCGCTCTTTGTCTCTCTCTCTGACTCTCTCTCTCCCTCTCGCTTTTTTATGTTCCATCCGATAGCGTTAACAGAATGTCGAAAAGTATCGAAATCCCGAAAAAAAGCTCATCAGCCCCATCTTCAGGGTCATTTCTGCTTCAATGACAGCTTTCTTAAATTATTGTATTTTGACCAGGATGAAAATTCTTGGCATATTTTGGATGCTCTACCGGGCCGCGATGATGGAGTCGCCAAAAAATGAAATATTGGAAAACTTCCGACATTAAACTCCCTTCCACAGCTAACCCCCGCCCCGCTAATAAAATAGAATCCCGTTTTTCCTATTTCTAAGCCAAAAACCATATCACACCGCATTCAGCCCATCTACACTCCGGACGCCCATCACCTGCGGGCCCTTGTCGACGACCTGGGCGTGGAGATGCTCGAAGCTAAAGCAGTTATCAAGACGGATCTACAAACACTCGTCGTTGGGGACATCTATGGCAATGTGGGCGCTAAAGCGCGCAAAAAATTCATAATGCCGAAATTTCAGATTGTCCAAATTTCTTAAAAGGATACCCAAGGTTTTTGGGTCCAAATCCATAACTTTATATTTTCCCGACTCGCCCCTCCCTGACCTGTGAAGGGTGGCCCCTGCCCGGACCAATGGCTGGCTCCATGGGGTAATGGATAGCGTCCGGGCCTATGAGTTGTGGGGCCCGGGTTCGACTCCCGGCCGCGACAGCCGTTTTGCTTTTTCAGGCCCGAAAAGGTTGGGTATCCCTTTAATGTCGCGGCTTTTTTTCCATGGGGAACCCCCGAATCCCATGCAAAAAGTTCCGACATACGGAATTTTGACATTATGAAATTTCGACATGAAGAATTCGGAAAGCATGATTTTCGGCATGACAGCAAATCCAAAAAAATTCGTCCGGCGGCATTGGGCCGCCTCAAATTCCGATACGCCGGTACATCGCGTACATCGGTACATCCGGTGGTTCTGGTTCATTAGCGGGGGGTGCAGTTGTCAAGGCTAGTTTATGTTCTCTGCCGATTTCAAAATTCCCGGATTGTGTTCGAATGTTAAGTGAAAAAGAGTAAGAAAAACTGTGCGATCTGGCTATAAGTCAGGATTGTGGTTATTTAGGGCCTGGTATACCTCCAGTCCAATTTTGAGACTGTTGGAATGTAATACGGCGAAATGCCGGAAGGGTGCTTTTTTTGGAACACCCTGTAATAGTAATTGTAGAAGTTTTTCAGATGAACTGGGCACGAAAAATATCAAAAATCGAGCAAAACATTCTGAATTTTCGAACATAAAAATTTCGCTTTCAGTTCAACGACCTTTGGCGCATCTTCCATTACTGGCTGTCGCGGATGAGCGAAAAAGGGCCCGAAATCAAGTAGCTTTTGGAGGATTTTGTGAACGCTTGGATGCTTAAGCATCCTCTTCCTTGGTGGCATAATCGATCGTGGACCCCGTCAAATTGAATGCTTGGCCTTGATCCTCAGCTTCCGGACGCTTTTCCGCAGCAGGGTACGGTTTGGCAAGCGTGCAATTCCTAAAACTAAGTCTGACAAGGGAAGGGCACGTGGACGAAGTGGAGTTTCGCAAAACCCTCGCGGCTACCCCCGGGTAATCGACTGTGGAGAACACGATGCCGTTGTCCGATTTTCCTGCGGAGGCCTGTGGACAGAGATACAGCACTTCCGGAAAATGACGATTTGCATGCGAAAAATTAGAATCCGGGGAAGCTTTATTAGGCTCGCTCGTCAGTATGGAATCTCCGGTCGAATGATCGATTGGTAAGCAACTCGCTTGATAGGATACTGACGAGGGTACGGATCCCCTCACGATTTTTTCGTTTTGCTTTTTGACAGGAACTTTTTGCACAAGTCCAGAATTTCCTTGACTTCGACAAAATTTTTTAGAGTGATGAATATCATAGATTTAGCTATCCCACCAAAAAAATTAAAAATTAAAAAATATTCGCGCGAATGGGCATCCATCCTCCCATTAGGTGAAAGTTTCCTAAAGTTTGTGAAAGTATTTTAGATTTGGTCCCCCTGCAATAACGTACGTATTAATTAAAAATTTACAGTTATCGCGGCAAAAATAGCAATGAAACCTTGTTCGAAAACCACTGGTCAAAAAGCAAAACGAAAAAAGCGTGAGAGGAATCCGTATTTTTGGTGGGATAGCTAAATCTATGATATTCATCACTCTAAAAAATTTTGTCGAAATCAAGGAAATTCTGGACTTGTGCAAAAAGTTCCTGTCAAAGCAAAACGAAAAATCGTGAGGGGGATCCGGACCCTCGTCAGTATCCTATCAAGCGAGTTGCTTACCAATCGATCATCTGACCGGAGATTCCATACTGACGAGCGAGCCTAATAAAGCTTCCCCCGGATTCTAATTTTTCGCATGCAAATCGTCATTTTCCGGAAGTGCTGTATCTCTGTCCACAGGCCTCCGCAGGAAAATCGGACAACGGCATCGTGTTCTCCATAGTCGATTACCCGGGGGTAGCCGCGAGGGTTTTGCGAAACTCCACTTCGTCCACGTGCCCTTCCCTTGTGAGCCTGTCTAAGTCTATGTGAAGCCTAAGCCTAAGCCTTAGTCTAAGCCAAACCGATGCCTAAGCCTAAGGCTAGCCTTTGCCCCAAACCTAAGCTGAAGCCTGAGGCGAAATCTAATCCTGGCACTTACATGTAGAGGTTGTGAGGTCACAGTCTCCAAAACGGCTCAAAATTGGTGGAAAAATAAAAATAAAATACGGGGAACACGATGCGATAAAAATGGCTACCAATGGGCACTTTTTGTTTCATAAACTTTGTTTCTCCAATGGTGGTTGGAAAAGTCGCTTCGCGACTTTTTAACCCTGGCCCCGTCTGATCTCAATGATATAATTAACTTTGCATAATCCTGGATTTCCGATGACAAAAAATGAAAATTGCGCTCTCTACCCCATTATAGAGGCCACCGGGACTTCCGGAGCATGCTAATTTTTCTTAACAAAGTGGGTCGCCGATTTTTTAATGAAAACTTGAATTTAATGTCGAAAATCGTTGATTTTGTAAAATCTAACATGTGTGCAGTCATCTCAGGACCATCACGCACCTAATGACGTATTATACATACCCTAAAATTCATCCCCTATCGAGATATCCTCCGGACACCCTGACGGAAATTGCATGCAAAGTGGCACACACACACACACAAACACTATTTTTTTATATATAGTAGGATACAAATGCTTAAAATCAAACGTTTATTAAACAAAAGTGCCCACAGGCAGATAATTTTTATCGCATCGTGCTCCCCAGTGTTTTATTTGATTTTCCTACCCATTTTAGGCCGAACCTGTGACCTCACAACCTCTATAGGGCGTCACACTAAAAGCTCACGTGGGAATTTTGCCATTTCAAATCCGATTGACTTGAATTTTGGAACAGAGGTGCGAAAGGGTATTTAAAATGTTCACAGAAACTATCCGCCAGTAGTTTTGGAGTTGCCGCAAAAATAAACTTTATTGGATGCTTTTAAGCTGGATTTTGCCGGAATTGAGCATTGACTGTATGGAGGAAATGAAGCGCCGACCCGTTTTATCCTAAGAAATTTTATTTTGTAAAATTTGGCTTGGAAATAAGCTATTTAAGCCATTTTAACAAGGTATTGGCAACCGCGATGTTTAGAAGAATAAGAGTTTTAGATTTTATGCGAATTGATACGAAGTCCAAAAAGCTAGCTGGGAAAAAAATCAGAGAAAGGGAAAAATAGTATTTTTGGCAATAACTCGAAAACTACTGTACCGATCGAGCTGAAAGTTTCTAGAAAATTTTAAATCTGCTTCCGCACCTTTGATCAAAATTTCAAATCGATCGGATTTGAAATACCAAAATGCGGGCGTGACCTATTTTATTGGGACACCCTGTACTACATGTTAGCTGTTGCATAAGTTCCACATTAGCGAAGCGAAGCAAAACCCAAGCCTTAGCCCTAACCAAAGCGAAGGCTATGTTTTCACCGCCCTTGGTTTCAGGTTTTCATCCTTCGGGGTAATCACGAAGACCCGGCGATTTGCTCCAAATTCAAGGGCTGAGCTCAAGAACCGTCACTACAATTCGGATCTGATCGAACTGATCCTCAAGCAGGTCTTCTCAAATATGCCGGTCGCGGCGCTGATTGACGGACGTGTTCTGTGTGTGCACGGCATGCCATGTCCGTTTTTTATTCGTTTCGCATTATGGGAAAAGGGAAGCGGGCTTACCTCGCGAACGAACTTTTTCCAAAAGCGAATTTTTCCAACACGAAATTTTGCATTCAAATTTCGGTTATGTCGGCTACACGGGGGTGGGAGGGGCAGTCAGGCGGGGGAACGGAAGAGACATGACTTTTTGGTTCTTTAGGAATTTTTCTTAACTTTTTCAAGGCTTGCTTTCAATATAGTTAAAATTTGCTAAAAACGATGTGAAGACACTTTATATTTGATTAATAGGTCGACCGACAGCTAGGAAAAATGGTTTCTCCCCCCCCCTGAACGCCTTCCTTCCTCCGGAAAGAACCGAACTGCGCAACGCCGTTCGATAATGTATCGAAACAATATACTAAGAGTTTTTGCTTTAACTAGAGAAAAATAAATACAAAATAAATGAAACGTAGGGTAAAAACAAAACATGGACATCCGATAAATATGCTAAGAGTTTTGTTTTGTAG